ACACTCTCTCTCTCTCTCTCACACACACACACACACACACACTTAAACTCAACTTTTCTACAATGAACACTATGGTTACCATGGTACATTTTCAGAATAATTAGTAATATCAGTGCAGCACACAGACTCCTCACACAATCCCATAATCCTCTCTGATCACAGCAGGAAGCAGATCGATCATCATCTGAAGGGCTTTTATTGACTGCTGTGAGTTTGATGTGATGTGAAGGGAAACACTCCCATCTAGTGGCCAAACACACTCACTGCGCCACAGCGGCATCAGACTTCACATCAAATAAACACATCTGCAGAGTAAAAACAATGTTCACCTCTGTATAAAATGTTTCCATTACTATTATCAGTTAAAAAAAATGAGTTAGATGAGCATGCTTATTTATCGACAAACAAATATACAGTGATTTTTTAAAATAATATTTTTCATTGTTTATTTATTTATTTGTTTTATGATTGTATTTATTTTATGGGTTTATTAAACAAAAAAGGTAACTCTTTACTTGAAGTCTTCATATATAATGCATTATAAAAGTATTTTAATTCATTAATTATGACTTCATAATGCATTCTATGATCTCACAATTAATTATCACCATAGTTATAATACATTATACTTATTGTCTATTCCTTGTTTTGCCTTTAAAAAGTATAATTCAGTAAAACACATGAAAACAACTTCATATGTAACAGAACCTGCAAATATTGTAATGCATTTTAATGACAAGAAAGATATATTGCATTATAACATACATTATGAAATGCTTTATAATGCATTAAAGACGTCAAGCATTGTGTCTCTGCTCGATCACTGAATCTCAGCAGGACCACGAGTCTGTTTATGTGATGATAACAGCGTTTATTATGACTGGGCATCGGTCAGGTCTGAAGCGTGTTGTCTTTGGTCTCGTCAGGAACGGCGGCGGTCGCAGCGGGACGTTTTGTGCCATCAGCATCGTGAGTGAAATGCTGCGGCATCAGCGCTCGGTCGATGTGTTTCACGCCGTCAAAACCCTGCGCAACAACAAGCCCAACATGGTGGATCTGCTGGTACTGACTCACTTATTACAGCTAACTACAACTAAACCACAACAAGAGAACCTTTCTGAAAGACTTTGGTACTTGATTTAAACAACAACAACAAACTTTAAATAAAATAATATAATTTGTGTCCCTGGAGCACAGAAGCAATACA